CTACTTTTACCACCGGGAGACAGAGGGCGAAGAGGCCGGAATGTACAGCCACGTGGACACGCATCCCTGTGGCCCACTGAACGGCAAGGTCAATGGGGGGTTGGTGGATGGAGAGATGCCTGAGCTACCACCTCCTCTCTGGGCACCCCCTGGGAAACATATGGTCACCGAAGTGTGAGGAACAGTTGAGGTCTGCAGGACCTCACATTTCCTTGGAGGGAGGGAGGGAGGGGTAGAAGGGAAGGTTAGGGGGAGGGGGTTGGGCTTAGGAAGAACTAGGTTAAGTGGTAACAAGTTGGGGAACACCAAGTCTTGTTGGGTCTTGAGTTGTGGTTTGGTAGCTCCCGTGGGCACTTCCCTAAGTGACGGTGAATGGCAATGAGTTATAATGAGTTGATGGGGAGACTCCATTGGCTTGTGTTGCATTGGGTTGTGCAAGACATATGGAGTTTTGTGGTAAGTGTTGAGATAGATTTGATCACATAATTTTGTTTTTAGGTCCTCATTGGGTTGGGCTGTGTTGTTGAGTCAGGGTGAGTCTTGTCCAATTGTATTGTGCAGGATTCTGTGGTTTTATGAGCCCCCTAGGGCCAATTTGGATCAAGTTAGGTGGTCACCCACAGCATTATTGGGACTGAGTGCGTGTTCATGCATGGTGTTGTGGAGTTGAGTTGAGACATGTTGGAAATTGTGTGGCTTTGTGATTCTTCTAGGGCTATATTATTTTAGGTTCTGTGAACTTGTGAGTCATGTAGAAATACAAGGAGTCAAATGATTGAATGTGAGCTTTCTAGGTCATGTAAGGTTAAGTTGGGTTGGAATGTATGATGGTATGAGTCTTTCAGGGTTCTGTTGGGTTGAATTGTGTAGGGTAATGTAGCTGGAGGTTTTGGGGGCTACACTGAGGTGAATCAGATTGAGTTGTATAACCACGTGAGTCTTGTAGGGCCATGCTGAGTTGAGTTACACCAAGTTGTGTCATTGTGAGTCCTGTAGGAATGTTAGTTAGGTTGAGTTGGACTCTGTGTATGGGCTCCATAGGGCCATGTTGGTTTGTTTTGCATTTAGTGGTAGCACCAGGACCCAAGAATAACAACACTGGGGAAGAATCATGTATCAGGGAGCAAGTGTGCTGTTATGGACTCTTCAAGACAAACTGAACTGACTTGCCCAGCGTCACTCTAAGGAGCAGGGCTGGGTGCTAGATCTCTTGATTCAGTTGTTCACACAGAGGGTCTCCGGGGGAGCTAGGAAGATGTAGTTGCTCCTTCCATTTACCCCACACCTGCTTCATTTCGCCATTCACTCCCTCTCTATCTGTCCTCCCTACAGTTTTACTTCCAAATATGTAGGTCAGAGCCACAAGGGAAGGGGAGAAGGGGAGAAACTCTACTCTGTACAGGCACGATGGGGGGACAGAACCTCAAATGAGGGTACAGAGACATGGGGAGTAATAAAGACTCAGACAAAGAAAGAGATAGAAACCCAGAGAAGAGGAAAGAAAGACCCAAAGAGAGAGGAAGAGAGATTTAGGGAGAAGGAGACAAAGACCAAGACCCAGAGGGATGGGGAGATGGAGACCTAGAGGAAGGTGGTCATAAAGTCCAAAGAGAAAGGGAGACAGAGACCAAGAGTGGGAGATAGAGATGGGGGGTTGTCAAGCACCCAGAGAGGGAAAGACACCAGAGTTGGAGCCAGATCAGAGCGCCCCTGAGAAAGATAACCCAAAAAAGGAAAAGGCACAGAAAAAGTCAGTGCCTCTGAACCCAAGAGATACAGTGTCTCTCTTCCATGGAATCACATAGAGATCTCAAATCAGGGTGCACCACGCTATCCTCCCACAGCTCAGGAAGGATGTCGGACAAACTGGGGAGCCCACTCAATTTTCCAGGGGGAGAAACCAGAGCCTCAGAGCATAAGAGTGGCTTCCCAGGGTCTCGTGGCACATCCCCAGGGTCTAGGACTTTGTGGCAGGCTGCCTGACCCCACCTGTCCCATCAGCCTGCTGGTTGGCACAGGTCCCCCTGAATCCTCCAGCCTCGTGTCTTACAGAGAAGTTGAGTCTCGGAGGGGAGGGCATAACCCAAGGTCATGAAGCCAAATAATTGCAGAGGTCTCTCAGTACTAAAAGGGCATTTGGAGGAGGAGGGGGAGCAGGATGCTTCAATCACTAACACATATAGGGCTTCCTATGTGCCAAGCATCATTCAAAGTACTTTATTGTATTAATTTATTAAAGCCAGTGGTTTACGGAGTATTGTTGTTGTTCTTTTTAGCCATCTATCCCCCCTCTTTTCTTGTCAAATGAAATATCATTTAGATGCACTTTGATGTAATGTGGCACATCAGAGGGGACCTGGTTTAAGGGACGCACACCTCAGGAGCACCTGTGTGGCTCAGTGGTTGAGTGTCTGCCTTTGGCTCAGGTTGTGATCCTGGGGTCCTGGGACTGAGTCCCGTGTAGGGCTCCCCATAGGGAGAGCCTGCTTCTCCCTCTGCCTGTGTCTTGGCCTCTTTCTGTGTGTCTCTCATGAATAAGTGGATAGAATCTTTAAAAAAAGGCGGGGGGGGGGGGACACATACCTCTATGGAGTCTCCTTCTTGGCAACTCAGAATGTAGCCAAGAAATTCAGTTTGGAAACCCCTGATCTAATCCAACCCCTGTTTATACAGAGCAACAGAAGGAGGTAAATTGTGTGAGAAGAGTTTGATAAAGATCGAAAACAAGAGAATCTTTAGGTGCCCTCTCTGAAATGGAAAGACACATTCGGAGACAGAAATGGAGACAGACCCCTCCCCTCACAGTGGCAAACACACAAGGCAGAGTCTGGGACCCAGATTGGAGACCGACGCAGGCAGAGCAGGGCCAAGACCCCGAGAGAGGGCATCCAAGGGGAGTTGGGAGACCAGGAGGGCAGTGACCTAGGAGGGGGTCAGAAATGGGGGTGAGGGTGAGGGGGCAAGATCCACAGAAGCTGGGAAGGCAACCAGAGAGGGAGAGGTCAGAGATCCAGAGGGAGGAGGATAGATACCCAGACAGAGAGGGATAAGGGGATAGATACCCAGAGAGGAGGCACAGAGCCCAAACGGAGGGTGTACCGAGATTGTTTACTTTTCTTTGAAAACTCACCTGTACTACCCCATCAGAGCCTAGAAGTTATATATAGAATCTCTCTGGTATAAGGTGGGACCTGTGAGTGCTTAAGGATGGGCGGGGAAGTGGGGAGAGGTCAGGGAGGTTACCCGACGACGCGACACTCAAAGACTCAGAAGTGCCCCTCCCCCACCCTCAATAAACAACCACAACTGCCTTCTATGTCGCCTTGGCTGGGATGGGGAAAAGGAGAGGGAAACACCCTAATGCGGGGACACCCTTCCTGCCACTTGGCCATGCTATATTTAGGCTGGTGGAGGGGCATGGGATGACCCGCGCCCCCCTCCCAAGATGGGTATCAGCTTTCCTCCTGAAATAGCTCCCTGGGTCAGGGAGGGGGGAGGGGGCCCCGGGACTCTAACTCCTTCTGACCTCAGGCTGTCCTAGGGTCTCTCTCCTCTCGCGGTCTCTGCCCCCCTCCTGGAATTCTGTCCCCCCCTTTCTGTCCGTTTCTGTGCCTTTCCCATCTTTCTTTGTCATTATTCTTTTTTTTTTTTTTCCTCTGAGCAGGTCCTCGTGTTCCCACATCATACCCCTGTCTATCTCTGAGTCCCGTATTACCTTGAATTTCTTATCTGAGCGCAGGACAGACCCTCTCCCCAGTCCCCACCCAGGAAATTCCAGCAGAGAGGACTCTGTGGGAGAGCCCCCCATATCCACTGTCTCCCAGGGCCTTGGGCCTTATCGCTGCCCAAGTCCAGCTGGTTAATGTCTGGCCCAGAGCTCCTGGGAAAGTGGGGATGAGAGCAGAGGGTGGGAATCTGCCCAGGGATTGACACTTCATTGGCAAAAGAACGCAAAGGGATCTCAGGCCCAGACTCCTGGCTCTAAGGAAAGAGGGAGCTGCTGGTCGGACTCCTGGGTCTGAGGGAGGAGGGGGCTGAGGGTGAGGACTCCTGGGTCTGAGGGAGGAGGGGGCTGGGGGTGAGAACTTCTGGGTCTGAGGCAGGAGGGGGCTGGGGGCCTGGACTCCTGGGTTCTGAAGGAAAAGGGAAGAAGGGGCTGAGGGTGAGGACTCTTGGGTCTGAGGGAAGAGGGAGCTGGGGTTGAGGACTCCTGGATCCGAGGGAGAAAGGATGCTGGGGGTGAGGACTCCCGGGTCTGAGGGAGGAGGGGTCTGGGGGCCCGGACCCCTGCGTCTGAGGGAAGAGGGGGCTGGGGATGAGGATTCCTAGGTCTGAGGAAGGAAGGATGCTGGGGGTGAGGACTCCCGGGTCTGAGGGAGGAGGGGACGGGGGGCCCCGGACCCCTGGGTCTGAGGGAGGAGGGGGCGGGGGGCGCGGACTCCCGGGCCTGAGGGAGGAAGTGCTGGGGGTGAGGACCCCCGGGTCTGTGGGAGCAGGGGGACGGCGCCTGGCCTCCCGGGGCCGAGGCGGGCCAGGAGCTGAGCGAGCCAGGCCGGGCTTCCGAGGTCCCGGCACGCGCGTGCAAGGCGGGATCCCCCGGCCCCTCCTCCGCCGTCGGGCGCCGCCCCGCCCCCGCCCCCTCCCGGGCCCTCCCGAGCGTGTGCAGCGCGGAGCCGGCGGGCGAGCGGGCGTCCCTGCAGCCGGCGAGCGGGAGGAGGAGCCGCGCCGCGCCAGGGGCAGCGGAGGAGCCGGAGAGGGCGCCCCAGGTAAGAGCCTCCGCGCCTCCTCCCGCGGGATTCCGGCGTCCGGGTCGCCCTGCCCCCGGGTAGGGAGGGACGGGGGCGGGGCCAGCGGGGGCGGGGCTTGGCGGAGGAAACTGAGGCAGGAGGGGAGCGCTCCCCAGACGGGCTGCCCGTTACCGTGTGCGGGGTCTCAGGAGACCAGACCCGCAGCCCAAATCTTCCTCGAGCGGAGGGGCTCTGGGAGTACGTAGTTCTGGATACCTGGGGGAGAGAGTCCTGAACTCCAGAACTCCCGGATCTGAGGGAGGAGGGCGCTGGGGGTCTGGACTCCTGGGTCTGTGGGAGGAGGGCGCTGGGCGCCTGGACCCCAGCGTGGGAGCGAGGGAGCTGGGGATCTGGACTCCCGACGGAGGAGACTTTGGGTCTGAGGGAGGTGGCAGCCGGGAACCAGGACTTCTGGTCTGAGGTTGAATCAGCATGGTCGGGTCCCTTCACACCCTTCTTTCCATTTCCCCATCTCGGAGCCAAGGCAGGCAGCCACTCCAGGTATGTGCGGTAGAAGTCTTGGACGGGCCCCGGCCTGTCCTGTGAGGATAGAACATTCCAGGAAGCAGCCTCAGGGACCCAGGGCTTCTTGAGTGTGGGCCCTTGGGGACCCGGGTGTCCAGACCAGCGCCGCCCCCGCCCTGTCTGGGAGATGAATGGGCCCTGGAGGATGTAATCTTTTCCAGCCTCTTCTCTCCACACCCCCACCTCTCCCCCTCCCCCCTCCTCTCCCCTACCTCTCCCATCTGCTTCCCATCCCAGCCAGGAGCCATCACCTGGTCAGGGAAGGGGCCTCTGGGAAGGGGAGACTCTGGTCTGGGGGACCTTGGCCTTGACTCTTGGGTACCCTACACTTTTAAGAGGAACACTGGAGAGTGTTCAGGTCCCCTCCCCCACTTGCCCGTACAACCTGCCTGTTTCCTTCTTCCCCTAGGTGGCTGCCCCTTCCCTCTCCTGAGATGTCAGGAAAGAGGGGACCACTTGTGTCCCCCATAGGGGCCCCCCAGAGCCTGGGGGCCCCCAGCCCTGGAGCCTGGAGGTGGAGGAGGTGCTGACAGGTCTGGTAACCACCTGCTGCTTCCCACTTCTCTCTGCACCGCTCTTTCCCAGAACCACAGACTTCCAGAATATTGCAGAGAGGCAGAGACATAGGCAGAGGGAGAAGCAGGCTCCCCTCGGGGAGCTGGATATGGGACTCCATCCCAGGACCCTGGGTTCACGCCCTGAGCCAAAGGCAGACACTCAACTGCTGAGCCATCCAGGTGCCTCGAGAGGAAATGTCTTGCCTTTCATTGGCAGTTTTGAGCTGAACTTGGGTCTTGTGAGGATTCTGGAATGTGGCCTTTCTCCGAATTTTGGAACCCCAAACCTCCTCTAGGCTGCAGGACTTAGTGTCCCCATCCCCTGTGGGGGTAGGATGCAGAATGCAGTTGTTCTGACAGGGCTTAAGTCCTACCTCTGGGATTTGCTGGCTGTGTGACCTCATATGAGTCCCTCACCTCTCTGAGCCTGTATTTATCCATTTGTTGATTTGCTGGCTATTTTCAGTAACCATAGTAGACTATGATTAACCTAGAAGCTTTGGCGTTATCTGAGTCCTAGAATATAAGGTCCCCCCAAGGTTCTAGAACAAAGGCCTCCCCCATGGTTCTGGCATTGGGGGGCCCCCTCCCACACTAGTTTTTATGCTCATCTCTAACCCCAGCTTCGGTCTCTATCCTCAGGTGCTCAGCGAGATGCTCCCCAGTGCCTCCTGCTCCCTCCCCATCCTCTTCCTTTTCCTCCTCCCCAGTGTCCCGATGGAGCCCCAGCCCCCACCCTTACCACTACCCCCATTTCTAGCGCCTGAGTGGGATCTCCTGTCCCCCCGAGTAGTCCTGTCCAGGGGCGCCCCTGCCGGGCCCCCTCTGCTGTTCCTGCTGGAGGCCGGGGCCTTTGGGGAGCCAGCAGGCAGCCCTGCCAATCGCACTCGGCGAGGGGTGAGTGAGACAGCACCAGCAAGTCGCCGGGGAGAGCTGGCTGTGTGTGATGCAGTCAGTGGCTGGGTGACAGACCGCCGGACAGCCGTGGACCTGCGTGGGCGCGAGGTGGAGGTGCTGGGCGAGGTTCCTGCGGCTGGTGGCAGCCCCCTTCGCCAGTACTTCTTTGAGACCCGCTGCAAAGCTGACAGCGCTGAGGAAAGCAGCCCTGGTGCGAGTGGAGGGGGCTGCCGGGGTGTGGACCGGAGGCACTGGGTATCTGAGTGTAAGGCCAAGCAGTCCTATGTGCGGGCATTGACCGCTGATGCCCAGGGCCGCGTAGGCTGGCGATGGATTCGGATTGACACTGCCTGTGTCTGCACGCTCCTTAGCCGGACTGGTCGGGCCTGAGGCCCAGGCTCAAGAACTAAGCGGGCAGAGGAAGAAGACAGCTGGCAGTTGAGTGACCTCAGGGGCGGCCTGGGTGTGCTGTACCTCATTTTGGGAACTTGTAAAATGGTCACAAAATCACAGCCTTCTGAGTTTGAGTGCAATCCATGCAAGACAGGTGGTGAAACCAAATGGGTTTTGAAGGATGAATAGGAGTTCTTCTGGATGAACTTGAGGGTGATGATAATAACAGTCAATATTTTTTCTGAGTGTCTACTGTTTATCAGTGCTAATACACAATTTGTCAGACCAACTCTGGTAGATTTAACCATAGGAGGCCATCGGTTTCTAAGTTGCAAACCACTTGATCTCAGAGGACATCTTGCCTACCCTGGAAAGAGTGACAAGGAAGTGATGTGTCAAGAAGTGGGTGAGGGAGTGTAAAAACTGGGACATACAAGCAACTAGCTGGAAGCTGGGGTTTGAATGAGAAATCTTACCTGATCAGATGGAGCAAGTGTTGTCTTAGAATGTTCTCTTTTGAGGTAGTGAGCTACCCATCACAGTAGGAGCACAAGCAAGATTGGATGAGATAAGTGATCAGGATGCTAGAGAGTTTAACCCTGTTGGGGAATTGGATCAGGTTTCTGTCTGATTCCTCTTTTTCTGTCCCAACTTTTACCCATATTGGGAAAGAAATAGCCCTTAGAATTGTACAACTTGAGTATGGCATAAGGTTCTGACCAGTTGACTCCTGGCTAGGATCAGAAGTCACATGGGCAGTGATAGGCTTTGAGTGGACTCAGGAGACTCCAAAAGGAGAAGTGGTCCCAGAGGCTGGAGTGAGGGGATCAGTGGGACCCGGGCCAGGTTGCAGAAAGTAGCCTCACTTTTCCCCATCTGAAGAATGGGTTAGTGGATGAGCTAATGGGAGCCAAGGAGGCAGAGGTCATGACCAAAAGGTCTTTATTTTTAAAAAATTTTTATAAAGATCTTATTTATTTATTCATGAGAGATGCACAGAAGCAGAGACACAGGTAGAGGGAGAAGCAGGCTCCCCATTGGGAGCCTGATGCGAGACTGGATCCCAGGACCCCAAAGGCAGATGCTCAACCAAAGAGCCACCCAGGTGCCCCAACCAAAAAGTCTTTAAAGTGAGGAAATGACAAGGGAAGTCAGGGGTAGATCTCACACCTTCAGGAGACCCCTTCATGCATCACCAGTCCATATCTTACCTGTGTGTGTGTGTGTGTGTGTGTGTGTGTGACACACACATGCACACATTCTTTTATTTTACTTATTTATTTTTAAAGATTTTATGTATTTACTCATGAGAGCGTGAGGCAGAGACAGGCAGAGAGAGAAGCAGGCTCCATGCAGGGAGCCTGATGTGGGACTTGATCGCAGGACTCCAGGATCACGCCCTGAGCCAAAGGCTGACATTCAACCGCTGAGCCACCCAGGCATCCCTCACACACATTCTTTTATAACCAGCTTTAGGCTAAAGACAGAGACCACAGACATCCCCCATCCCCCACCCCCCACCAACACAGACTGGGGCCCCTGGGAAGGGTAGGAATGCCAGGGCGGCGCGGGGGTGGGGTGCCTGGCTGACTCAGTTTCCAGGTCTGTGGTTCACACCCTCTTTTTTTTTTTTTTTGGTCACCTCCCTCTCTGTCTCATCTCTGGGTCAGTGGGCTCTCTATCTCTGTTTCTCATTCACTGTCTCTCACCCATTCTCCTCTGTGTTTCATTCCCATCAAAGCTCTTTCCATATCCCCTCCCTCCCCTCTCTTTTTGCTAAGTATTTCCCTGTGTACTTGTCTGTGGGTCTCTCCCTTGTCACCCACCCCCCATATCCAGGTGGAAGTTTTCAACCAAATCAAAGGCAGGCAGGCAGGACAGACGAAGCCCAAGCCCCAGGCTGACTCCTTCAGCACACACAGGGAGGGAGGGAGCGCCCTAGGGAAGTCTGGAAATCGTTACCCCAGAGGTAGGCAGGCCTGGCAGAAGGAGGAGGGGGCTGAGAGATTTGGGACCCCTTCAGAAAGAGGGCTGTTTCTCATGGATTCCCTGATGCAGTGGGTGGTCTCTGTTCTCCTCCCCCTCTGGGTTCTTGTCTCCCCCAACTCACATCTCTAAAGTTCCCTAAAACTCTGAGTTTCTATTTCCCCTTCCTCCCACTTGCCCTTCACAGCCCTTTCCTCTCTCTAGGTCTCCCCTCCCCCAATTCTCTGAGCTTCCGGGCCCCTCCCTCAAAGTCCCTGTCCCTCTGTGCCTGGGTCTCTTTCTCACCCTATCCATCCATCCACACACCTGCAGGCCTTCTATTGGCTGGTTGGGGGGGGCGGGTTCTGTTACCTGGGGCGACAGCAACAACAAGCCGGCTCCTGCGCGGCTACCCGGCAGGGGAGGGACCCATGGTGGGTCGGACCCTAGCTCTGCGCTATGGCCCCCCCATGGCCCCCAATCGCTGGGACGGAGGCGCCTGGGTCCTGGCCCAATTGGCATCTCACCAGCACTAGTGTCGCCCACCACATTATCCCATCTGTGCCCTTTCCCCCGCCCACCATGCAGGTAAGAGGACCCTAGGTCTCAGGCTAGAAGGAAACTGGGGTCCAGACCCCTGTGTCTGAAGGAGAGGCCTGGGGATCCAGACACCTGCCCAGAGAAAAGGGGATTGGGGGCGTAGACTCCTCTCTGACTGAAGGAGAGTCCCCAACTCCTGGGTCTGAAAGAAGAGGGGCCAGGGAAACCTGGATGACTGGACCTGGAGGGAGGAAAGTTTTGGGGACTGACTGGGAGAGGTCAGGGCTGGTAGGCTGGACTTGACTTCTTTTAGCTGAAGTCCTTCTTCCCAGTCCACGGTCGCGGAGCCCCTGCCCGCGGCCGCAAAGCAGGATTTGCACGTCTGGGATTTTGACGAGGTCATCAGCAGATGGGAGACCACCTCTGGCTCTGCTTACATACCTAAGACCCAGGGCGGCCCCTACGCACAGCCCAGGGCCCCAGAGCCTTCAGACCCCACGCGGACTGTGGGGATCAAGGATTTAGCAGAAAAGGTAAGGCTCTGGAATGCAGAGTCCGCAGGGACAGGGCTGGGGATCGCAGTGGAGTGCCTTGCACCCTCACGTGGGAACCCTGCGTCGCCCTCCCGCAGCTCAGACACCGCGGCTGGCGCCTCCCGCTGATCGCGAAGCCCCAGTGCAGTGAAATGAAAGCTCAGTACACCGGCTGGCCGGGCCTGGACCAGCCCGCCACCTTCCACGTCGGGCCCCAGTCCCTGGAATTTGCAGACCACCTCCGCGGAGGCCCTTCCCAGGTAGCGGAGAAGACCTGCTGCCACCGTGGGACAGAGCTTGTAGCGCCTGGGGCGGGGGCGGAGGGGCTCTGAAGCTGAGGACCAGACGAGGAGACCCTGGGGTGGACAATTTTGAGTCCGGGGTCCTAACCAAAAGGTCTGGGACGGAATCAGGTTACAGAGTCTGGGGTGGAGCTCCGTCCTTTTGAGGTAGGGTCAGGAGGCGGAGAGGGCTGGAGACCATAATCCCAGCTGGGAGGCTGGGGCCACAACTCGTAAATCCCCGGGGCGGGGCCGGGAAGGGGTTCCGAGGCTGTGGTCAGAGCAGAGCGGCGGTGGGCACGTGGGGGCGAGCCTTGAACTTTCCGAGCCGCGGTCGGGAGGAGGCGGGGCTAGGCTTTCCTGGAGAGGATGAGCAAAGAGGAAAGGTTGCCCGAGGTGCGGCTTGAATTCCAGCGGCGGGAGGTGGAAGCCGGGAGTCTGCGGCGGACCTGGAAAGATTTTTTTTTTTTTTTTTTTTTGTGGCTGGGGGCTGGGCTATGTGTTGACCCTCAAATGTTAGGATTTTGGAGCATCCCTAATAAGGGTTCTGATTTGGGTAGCGAAGCTAAAGTGCACTGGCTTGCGTTTGATTGGTCAGGAAGAATTCTGCAGGCGAATGTGAGAACCTGTTGGGTCGAAGGAGGGATCCTGAGTTCTGGGACCCAGGTCCTGGAATGCGGTATGAAACCTCTCTCTTGCTCATTCATGCCTTCCTCCCCGGATCTTCGTCAGGCTTTAATCCCCTGGACAAAGAACCCCGAGCTGGCCGGCCGGCTTTTCACAGTATCTGACCAGGGCATCTTGGACCGTCGTCAGCTCTATCTGACCACCTCGGCCAAGGACTTCCGGGCCTACCCGAAGTGAGCTGGGTCCTCGCCCCGCACGGCCCCCAGCATAAGCTGGCGGGATGCCGACCCTAGGTGTCAGTTTCCCCTGTCCGACTCAGTAGCCTCAACCTTCATTCAGTTCCTGCACACTCAAGAACCGGAAGTTCAGGCCCCAGCCCTACCTCTTTTAGCGCCCAAGTATTCTTAGTGTCAGCTCTCAGGAAATTGAAACCTGCGCCTTGTCCAAGAGGGGGGACCAGGGGCGGGGCCCTAGGGATCTAGGGCGGGGTCTACTTTGGTTCCGAGATACTCCTTTCCAAGGGTTCGAAAAAACTCCAAATTCCAGGCCCTTAAGGACATCGAATCCAGGAATTCAGGTTAGCAGTCCTCAGGCCCCATCCTTCCTAAGGGGTCCCCGACTCCTACAAACGTGTCCTTGCCTCGGAACGCAGGAGTGCAGATCTACAGGGTCCTCAGAACGCGAGGTCTGAACCTCTCAGACTTGACCCTAGGATCCAGCTGTCCCTTCCCCATCAACAGGAAGGAGTTGTCTGGATATCCCCCCAAGGACTCGCTGACCTACTGGAGCTTCCAGAAGACGCCTCACGCCTGGGGCCATGACCCGCGCCCTTCTCGGCCGCCAGGGATCCGCGTGCCCCACGTCCGCCCGATGACGAGAGCCGTGCCGCACCGCGGGTCGTTGTCTCTGGCTCAGGAGTCCTACAGACCCCCAGTGCACCCACTCCTCCGGCTCGACCGTTTCTGCCCGCTGGAACTGCCCTGGGGCGGCCCGCACTGGCAGCCGGTGCCGGGCATCTACAGCGTGCCGCAAGCCTACCGCACTGAGAACTCCAGCTACGGCAGCATGAAGCCAGCCGCCGTCTGAGCCCGCAGCGCCAGCCCCGCCCCGGACTGGCCCCCGCGGCCGGGCGGAGCCGAGGTCTGGAAACCCGCCCGTCACGTGGGAGCGAGGCGGCGGCCAGGCCCCGCCCACTGGGTCGTGAGCCCGGCGAATCCCACACTGGACCGTAGGGTTGACCGGATTGGGGGCTGGGGGGGAGGTGGGCGCTGAGCTGAAAACGTACCTTGGGGCTGTGGGTTCGGGGGAGGGACAGGCCCTCCGCGACAGAGGGGCGGAGCTTATCTTATTAGTCAACTGCGTTAAACGGCCTAAACCACGCCTATGGATGGTTTGCTCTGGGGGCCTGAGGGTGGGGAAGATGGGGCTGCCGCTGAATTCCATGCGGGAGGAAGGCACGCCAGCATGCAGGTGGAACCCCGCCTAAGGGCACAGAATCCAATCTTGAAGTCATGCCCTTCCAAAGAGAGTAAACTGTGGGACAGGAATGGCTTCCAGTCTATGGCAGGTGGAGGGGAGGGGGATTGAGGTCTCCGCCAGTCACCTTGGAAGGGGCGCGCTCCATCCAGCCTTGCAGACTCCCGCCATGATGGGCAGAGGCGAGGCTGTACCACCTTGGGCAAGGTCAAGGGCTTCCTGTGGCCCAAGCATGACTTCGCTAGCACCTGAGGCCCCAGAGGATCCAGTCATGAAGTCAGCTTCACCTTGGGTGCCTATCAGGGAGTGGGGGTAAGGGGCATTCCACGGAGCCACTCCTGCACACCTCCCTGACCTTTTCTGGTTCTCGCCCCCGGAGAGATTAGTGTCCAGGTTACCCCATCATACCGCCACCCCCAGTGGCCTTGCCACCCCCACAGCCTGCAACTATAAGACCAGGTAAACATCACAGGGGAGGAACTGAGAATGGAGACACTCCAGGTAAGACTAGGGCCCCCAGGTGCTTTGCAACTCCATCCAGGCCTCAGCTGGCACAAGGAGGGGAGAGTCCTACAACCTGATTGAGGTGGCTTCCTTCTAGAAGGATGTGGACAGCCAGTGGGCTTTCTGCCAGGAGGGCCCTAGGCAGGTGGAGCAGGGCCTGAGGGTGGGACTCTGCAGTGTGGGAGGATCTGGGGTTCCTGAGTATCAGGGGCAGAGAATCAAAGTGGAAGGGATGGGTCCTGAATGGAAGATATCAGGCAGGGGAGCTGGGTCCCTGAATGTCTGGGGGGGAGGGTAAGGGCTGAGAGTAGAGATGTCTGTCTGGCCCTGAGACACTGGCCTTGTCCCAGGGGTTGCTGCTGTGGCTGCTGCTGAGTGTGGGTGGGGTGTGGGCATCCAGGGGGCCATTACGGCCGCTGTGCCGGCCCATCAACGCCACCCTGGCTGCTGAGAACGAAGCCTGCCCGGTCTGTATCACCTTCACCACCACCATCTGTGCCGGCTACTGCCCCAGCATGGTGAGCTTCAGGGGATGGTGGGGACCAGCCCTGCTGGACTGGGAATGACGGGTGCCACCTCAGCTTCAGGGTGAATTACTCAGGGCCAGGCGCACATCAGATGTAAAACGACAGCTGGGATGGAAGGATGGCCCACCCCCTGGGCAGGGGCTGGGGAATTGGAACTCAAAGCTGGGCATGTGGGAGGAAGGGAGGGAGAGCACAGAGGGTCTGCTGGACACCTGAGTTTGAGACCTGTGGGGGGCAGCGGGAGAACTCAGGGGAGGGCCTGACCACAGGCAGGTAGTCATGCCCCCCCATCCCTCTCCTGGCCTACAGGTACGAGTGCTGCCAGCCGCCCTGCCACCTGTGCCCCAGCCAGTGTGCACCTACCATGAGCTGCACTTTGCTTCCATCCGGCTCCCTGGATGCCCGCCTGGCGTGGACCCCATGGTCTCCTTCCCCGTGGCCCTCAGCTGTCGCTGTGGGCCCTGCCGTCTCAGCAACTCCGACTGTGGGGGTCCCAGAGCTCAATCCTTGGCCTGTGACCGCCCCCCGCTCCCGGGCCTCCTGTTCCTTTAAGGACCCCCTCCTGCCCCAACTCCTGGAGCCAGCAGATGCTCCTTCCCTCCCCTCCCAATAAAGGCTTCTCAAACTGCACTCAGGTGGTCTTTGTCAGGCTCAGGATGCATGTACGCATGTAGATGCACACACACAGAATGGGTCTGGTTTTTCAGGGCATCTGGGTGGCTTAGTAGGTTGGGCATCTGATTCTTGATTTTGGCTCAGTTCATGATCTTGGGATCATGGGATCGAGCCCCACACTGGGCTTCACACTGGGCATCCTGGAGCCTCCCTAGGGTTCTCTTTCTCCCTCTCCCTCTGCCCTCCCCCTGCCATTCCCTCAAGCTCTAAAAAAAAAAAAGAGAGAGAATGGGTCCAGTTTCAGAACCATTTTATACAAAGTTACAGCGTCAGAACTCTAGTAGAAAACAGGGCTTGGGGGGGAGGTGAAGGTGACATCAGCTCAGGAGGTGTCCATGGTTTCACCTTCTGTGGGGAGAAGGAAGGGGGGCCATGTGGTCAGTGTGGTCTCGAGGGAAGGGCCTGAGATATCCAGGCTACATATGGCCTGCCCCCCTGGGGTGGGTGACCCTGGGGACAGGTGCAGCAGGGGACACTCACTGAGCTCATTGAAAAGAAAGGCATCCTGGTACTCCTTCATGTACTGCGTGGAGCGTGACTCGTCCAGAAAGAGCGAGTAGACCCGTTTGATGTCATCTACCTGTACTTCCGTGCCCTAATAGGGAAAGGCCAGATCTCAGTGGGGCCCCTCCCAGTGCGGCGGGTCAGGGTGAAGACCCTGGGGCCAGACTGCTTGGGCCTGAATCCTGCTTTGGCCACCTCCCGGCTGAGGGTCCAACCCCTCCGGTCCTTAGTTTCTTCATCTGTAAGATGGACTTGACGGCATTAACTTTGAGATGAGAGACATCTATGAAGCACCTGCTATGTGTCAGGCAAGGAAATACAGGTATAAACTCCGCAGACCCAACTTCCCAGCCTTTGAAAACCTATGTTCTGGGGCTAAATGCAACAACGCCCTCCAAGCCCTTGGAGTGAGGAGTAGGTCATTCACTTGGGCGGGCCCCAGGGGTTACTGGGCTAGCTGACCTTGCGTTTCCGGCACACCAGGCTGGCAGCTGTGATAAGCTGGATGGCGTAGCGTAATGAGGTCTCCAGGCCAATGCGCGTCAGCACCGTGTAGGCATCCTCACTCATTTCTACGTCTTCCTCTTCACACCTGTGGGCAGGTGGGGCGGGGCGGGGTGGGGTGGGGTGTGGTCAGCCAGGGCCAGGGCTCTGACTGCAGCAAACCCCTGGCTGGCGCTTCCCCCTGGGCGCTGTTGGAAGTCCTGGGGGACATGTGGAGTCTATGTTCACAGAACCACAGAACGGCAAGCAAGAAGGGCCACTGAGGCATGGGCTGGACCTGTCACCTGGGCTTCCAACCCTCTCCAGCCAGGGCTCTTTCCCCAGTGTCAGCCACTGGCCTACCACCAGATCTGAGGCCATTGCTTGGTTGCCCAGCCCAGCCCTACCTCCTGCAGGCCCAGAGACCTACCCCCTCAGACCTCACTGCCTCCACTTGCCAAAAAGGGTGGGTGCCAGCCCTGCTTCTCAGACCCGTAGCCTGGTCCTGCCCCAGAACCCCAGGCAGCCCTGCCCATACCGGATGCGGAGGATCTGCTTTGTGTCCTTCTCACTGTAGGGAGAGGTGGAGACGATGAGCAGTCGGTCTAGTAGGTCGATGGGGATGCCATGGGGGCTCTGATAGCTGGTACCCCGGATCCTGGGGAGGAGAAAGGGAGGGTGGTCAGGGTGATGCTCCCAGAACCCAGCTCTCCATTTCCTCTACTTAAAATACCACACCCACCCTCTCCATCACAGCCCACTCACTGGGCAAATATCACCTAACCTTCAGCTCATGGCTACTGTCATCACCAACTGTGCAGCTGTCCCCCAGCTGTGTCACCACCCCCGCCCACAGAAAACTGGGTTGGTCTGAGCTAGGTATCTATATCCAGGATTACTGAGTCAAGGTCTCACTCCTCTGCGTGACATACAGCTCCACAGGTAAGAAACTGTGATGGTCCTATTCTGTGCTATTCGTGCTGCACCTGGCCCAGAGCAGGCCCTGGCACATGGCAGTGCCAGGAGAGAGTGGATTCTTGTAATTTGTGGTAGTGACATTCTATTAAGGGGGGGGGGGGAGGCAGGCGCTCACTAGCAAATGATGAACCACTGCTTCTCGGAGATGTATGTGGTAGGTTCTTGTGAGCCTTTGGTCACAATATTTTTGTCAACCAACCAATATATAACCTGGTTCTACGTGCTTCTGTTTAAAGACATCTTATTTAGCATACACTACTGACCCACTCGCATTGAACTCATGGCTGACAGCACTCTACATCATGCCTGGAACTAAGCTCATCTGACACACACACTTTCTCTGTAAGGCACATCCATCCTCGCCTTGTGCCTAGGGGGCCCTTTTAAATCCCAAATCATCAATAAAAAGCAGATAACACGGCATGAAAAGGACACTCAAAAAAAAAAAAAAAAAAAGGACACTCATTTACAGCAGGTGAGCTGCAACCAGAAAGCAGGCAGGGCACCAACTTGCTGGACCTTAGATTAGAGGGTCCATACCCAGTCACACAGGAGCACCAGAGTGTTGCCAGCACTGATGGGGGGGGGGGCAGGGGAGAGGGGCTTACAAATCAATTTAAGTGAGAGTACATAGACTCAAGAATACATTTTATGCAGATAACAGAGGAGCGACTTGGGTTTGTGCCCTGGCCCAGGATATGCTCCGCGTGCAGCTGCCATACATTTGCCCTCAGCTGGCCCCTTCCTATCTTCGTTAGGAGAGGCAACTCTGGCTCTGACACCTTCTCCATGCAACCTCAGGCACGTCACCAGGCCTTGCTATCCTCCTCTGTAATGGGCTGAGACAATATCCACCTCCTGAACTTCTTTTAAGGGTCAGAGCTATTCACCCAGGAAACAAGCCACAGAAAATCTGCCCCTTTGTCCTCTGTAATGATGGCCACCCTCCACCGACAAGTTTTAGCTGCCACATGGCCACAGCACTGGAGAAGACATTCCTCAGCTTCCAGAGCAGCCAGGGTGGTGCTGGGCAGTGGGTGATGGTGGAAGTGCTAAGTGCACCCTCC